CACCCTGTGAGGTAAAAGAAGAAGAAGAAGAGACTGGATTTATACCCCGCCCTTCACTACCCAAAGGAATCTCAGAGCGGCTGACAAACTCCTTCCCTTCCCCTCCCCACAACAGACACCCTGTGAGGTAAAAGAAGAAGAAGAAGAGACTGGATTTATACCCCGCCCTTCACTACCCAAAGGAATCTCAGAGCGGCTGACAAACTCCTTCCCTTCCCCTCCCCACAACAGACACCCTGTGGGGTAAAAGAAGAAGAAGAAGAAGAGATTGGATTTATACCCTGCCCGTCACTACCCAAAGGAGTCTCAGGGCGGCTTACAAACGCCTTTCCCTTCCCCTCCCCACAACAGACACCCTGTGAGGTAGGTGGGGCTGAGAGAGGTCTGACAGAAACTGCTCTTTTTCAAGGACAGCTCTTATCAGAACTATGGCTTGCCCAAGGTCATCCAGCCAGGTGCAAGTGGAGGAATGGGGAATCAAACCCGGTTCTCCCGGACTAGAGTCCGCGCACTTAACCATGACACCAAACTGGGTCACCAAAAGGGCCACAAGGACTAAGCCCTGAGGCAACCCTTCCTGCCCTCCCTTCTCATGATCTGCCTACATTCACAGAATCAGCATTGCTGTCTGATGGCCATCTAGCTTCTGTTTGGAAACCTCCAAAGGAGGAGAGCCCACCTGCTCCTGAGGAAGCCTGTTCCACTGAGGAACCACTCTAACCGTCAGGAAGTTCTTCCGAATGTTTAGCCGAAAACTCTTCTGATTTGATTTCAACCCGTTGGTTCTGGTCCAACCTTCTGGGGCAACAGAAAACAACTCCACACCATCCTCTAGATGTCAGTCCTTGAAGATGGTGATCATACCACCACTCAATCATCTCCTCTCCAGGCTAAACATACCCAGCTCCTTCAACCTCTCCTCACAGGACTTGGTCTCCAGACCCTTCACCATCTTCCTTGCCCTCCTCTGGACACGTTCCAGCTTGTCTAAATCCTTCTTAAATCGTGGTGCCCAAAACTGAACGCAATACTCTAGGTGAGGTCTCACCAGGACAGAGTAAAGTGGTACCATCTCTTCGCGTGATCTGGACACTATAGTTCTATATAAGTGTGTGTGTGCAATCACACTTCTTCTTTCTGCTCTGTAACTGAAGAAGCGTGCTTGCACACGTCACAGGACTCTTTTTGTAGAAAAAGCCCAGCAGGAACTCATTAGCACAATAGGCCACACCCAACAGCAAAACTCATTAGCATATTAGGACACACCCTGACAGCACTGCTCATTAGCACATTAGGCCACACCCCCATGGTCATCCAGCCACACACACCTTTCCCTTCTTATTCTGTTTATCTTGTTTGTTGTCAACCAGGGCTTTTTTTGTAGCAGGAACTCCTTTGCAAGTTAGGCCACACACCCCTAATGTAGCCAATCCTAATGGTTTCCGTCTGTGGGTTGTGGCTTATTATGCTAATGAGTTCCTGATGGGCGTGGCCAACTCAGGAGCCAGCCGGAACTCCGTTCCTGTGCGTTCCTGCCCCAAAATAGCCCTGCTTATACCTTGCATTAAACTTTGTTGGTCTTAAAGGTGGCACTGGACTTTAAATATCAATTGTCCTTCTCTTCGTTCAAATGCAAATTGGCCCTAGTTGCCAGTAAAGTATGCATTACATAGGGACACACAACCAAAACCCAGGGCAGCGATTTTCTTTAAAGGAGAGCTGGGTGGGGTCGGGGTGGGGGGAGTATTTTTGGGGGGACTGGGGGGGGGGGAGGTCAAGCTTAACGCTTTCCCTGCCTTCTGCTTTTTCTGCGGCAGTCGCTCCCCCGCTGCTTTCCCCCCTGAAACATCACAGGCGAAGACAGCTGTGGGTAAGACCAGTGTTCCCTCTAAGCTGAGTTAATGTGAGCTAGCTCACAATTTTTTAGCCTCCAGCGCACAGATTTTTGCTCAGGAAGGAGGGCTCCAGAGCCAACTGATTTAAGCAGCAGCCAAATCGCTCGCTCACAACTTTA